TGTGGAGGTTGTCACCCAAGATTTGAGAAGATAGCACGAGATGGGCAGTCTTCGACAGCATTCGCTAAGATTGTGGAGGTTGTCACCCAAGATTTGAGAAGATAGCACGAGATGGGCGGTCTTCGACGGCATTCGCTAAGATTGTGGAGGTTGTCACCCGAGATTTGAGAAGATAGCACGAGATGGGCAGTCTTCGACGACTTTTGCTATGATTGGAAAGGTTGTCACTATGATTCAAGAAAAGGCTCAAGATGTAGCAACATTGATCGACGGCGTTCCCTAGCTTGTGGAAGATCGTCAAAACAAACAGCAAGATGGCGTTCCCTAGATTGTGGAGAGTTGTCACAAAAAACTGAGGATTGTTTCAAGAGAAATAATCTTTGATGGTATTCCCTTGGACGTGGAATATTATCACAGCAGAGAGGATAGTTTCAAGCAAAGCAATCTTCTAATTGGAAGCAGTTACAAGGTGTAGCAGTTTTCAAGCGGGATGACATTCTCTAGCTTGCAGGAGGTCATAAAAAAAAACAACAGCAACAATCAGTTACTTTCAGAGACGTGTGCTCGACGGTGCAAGATACGCGTTTCTTAACTCTTTTATCTGTTTAACTAACATTGTTTTGCAGGTATCGGCGTTATAAGATTGATTTAGGATCGTAGAACGCTCTGAATCATTCTCCGTCCCTATCGATACTTTGGCTTTCGTTTTCGAAACTTGCGTTTCTCCAAACTCAGTCAAAGTGGGGGCTTCTGTAGACACCCATTTGTGTCTCTCCAAAACCAAACCCAGTGATGAGTACCTTTCACGTCGAATCATAATCGAATGAAACAAAAGTGTGGAAAGGTCTAGTGTTGCGGAAAGTTTTTATTTCTTTTCTTTTCTCTTCTCTCTGTTTTTGAAAACTTTATTTTAAGAAAACAGTCAATCCAGTTTGTTTGGTCCATGATATGGGTCCAATAGTGGTGTTGGATGGGGTTTGCAAAGACCTTTCTAACGATATATTATAAGCCCAATTCCGATGAATATTGAGGAAGTTATGGCCAATTTACTAAACTGGGCCCGGTTTGAGTTTTAAGTACGGCCCAATGATCTAGGGGAGGGCCTAATATGATTTATCATTCCTAATGCAATTAGGAATGGTTTTGGTCTTCTAGAACATTCTAGAAGGTTTTATCATTCTTAATTCAATTAGGATTCTTCAGAGTTTTAATCAAGATCAAATAGCATTTTCGATTGAAATTATATTATTTTATCTTCCAGTACAGGAATTTTATCAGAATTTCGAAAACGCGTTGAAATCCAAATTGGCGTCCAACCCCAGGCCTTGGCGCCTAGAATCAGGATTGGCGCCAGACGCCAGCCATTGGCGCCTGGCGCTAGCCACTGGTCCTGGCACCAATGAGCCACGGCCGGCGCCAATGTGTTTTTGTGGTCTTCAGACTCTGTTTTGATAAATTATCTTTTTTTGATGTTTTTCTCTATAAATATCGTATCAAAAACTCCGTTTTCATTGATCATCTACATCTATCGTCCACCAATTCTTTTTATTCTTAAGTTTTCATCAACTATCTTCATCACTAATAATCAACTCTCTCCATTCATCATCTACATCATTCATTCATCAACTTTCAATAACATTAATTCTTTAGTATTCTTTCTTCCTTGCTTTTTAATACAAAATTCCGCATTCACAAGGTCTAGATAAACCTAGCCATATTCGAAATTGTCTTCGCCCTAGACATGAAAGGTTTTAATTTCTGAGGGTTTGGTCCCAAATCTCTCTTTTAATTATTTAATTTAATTGTTTTTATTATTACTTTCCTTGAAGTTACTAACGTGTGTATTTTGTTATTAGAAAGAGGTACGAGGCATCCAAGTAAGTACTTTAATTGATTAATTGATTTATGATGTAGATATCATGTTTAGATTGTTATTATGATATTCCTAGTATCATGTCTAGGGTATTTTTAATATCAAATATGATTGTTATGATGCTTCCTATATTCTCCCTAATATTTATTATTATTATGATTATCATTGATTATTATTAATGATGTTGATTATTTATTATGTTGCTTGATATGTATCATATTCTATATTCTTTATTGCTTGATCACCTTTATGCATGTTTAAAGGGAATTTGGTACTTGCAATCACTCTTAATAAGATAATTAATAATCTTGTTAGGTTAATTGTGATTATAATTCAAGTGATCACCAATAATAGTTTATTTGTGCATTAATATTCAACCAACATAGATTAAACAGGTTTAGGGTTAATCTTATTGATTGTATGTTAGTCAGAAAGCGCACATGAATACGAGCAGAATAAAGTAGAGGCCTATTATTAGGGCAGGTTCAATCTCTTTTAGGTTGGATTTGTACCATCATCCCCGAACCCTTATTTGGTTCATGACCTTATGGAGTTGACGATCTCTTGGATCGTTAAGGGGTGTAACCTTCATCCTATGAACGGTTTACAAGTTCCTTAAAAACTTGTTGGCGACTCTTTTGCTCTATCTTCTTCCCTTTTGGACGCCACTGTACTTTAGTGTATGATCACAGTGGGGTTCAAGCTAGTGGGATTTTTAAAGGCTTGAAATTATTCCCTACACTAATTAAGACTAGAATTTGATAATTAATTGTGGTTTTATGACTTAAGACAGGGCGAATATTATTTATTTTGTTCTTTTCACGAATATTGACTAAACAATGAATAACGACTTTTGCAATGTAATTCCTACGTGATTAATGCTTGTAAATAAAATCAACTAACTTAGAGTTCGTTTGACATTGCTGTGGTTTTCTGTTTTTTAGTTTTTTGTTTTCTAAAAGTATATGATATGAGTCTCATAATGAATGAAAAATTATATAAACTTATTAAAATTATGATAATTTTGAAAACTGACAACTGAAAAGTGGAAACACCTTTTTTCTTGTTTACTGTTTTTGGTTTTTGGTTTTTTTTTAAAAAAAAAGGAAACTGAAAACCAAAACTGATGTCAAATAAGCCCTTAGTCTTTAGGTATGTATCACGTTGCATATATTGTTTGGTATTTAAATTGTGAAAAAGGAAGAGCTAGTAGAGGTTGTACTAGGGCTAAGATAGAGATTTCCCTCTAAAGGGAACATTATCTTAGTACCCTCGCTCCATAACTCAAATCTAGTTTATGTAGACCAATTTGGGCATGGGTAAACTTACGATTCGTGCTTATTATCCCTTGAACTCTACTTGGGAGAAAGGCATGAACGAGGTTTATGAGTTTTCCTAAAACTCATTGGCGACTCCTACTTGTTTCTTACAAAAAAGCGTGATGATAGTATCATTTCTAATTTAAGGTCTCTCAAATAGTCAGGAATTCAAATCATAATACACCCTAACAAGTGTAAAAGTCCTAGGCTTTTAAAGGGCCATGGACACTAAGAAGAAGAATCCCCTATGATGGGAACACCCTCCTTACAGGCCCTCCACTAGATCATTGGACCATAAAACCATTTCAAACCCAATTTAGTATTTGGATCATAACTTCCTCATTATTCATTGGAATTGGGCTTATAATATGTCTTTGGAAAGCTCTTTACAAACTTGCCCCAACTATACTATTATTGGACCCTCGTCATGAACCAAACTAAATTAGACTAGCTATGTTCATAAAATAGAGAAGATTTTCGAAAACAAGAAGAAAGATTTTATTAAAACGAACGCATCACAAGACTTTTCACACTTTCACCTCATTCGATAATCAAGCGACGTGGAAAGTATTCATCACTAGGTTTAGTTTCTGGGGAGACACATTTGGGTGCCTACACCAACCTTTATACCCAATTCGCTCAAAATAATCCCAGCTGGTCATGTAACTTGTTGTGACTAGTTACCAAACACGTGGCGGCTTGTGATTGGTAAAAATATATAAAAAAAATAAAATTAGTTTTTTAAAAAAAAGTAATTTATTTGTTTGAAGAAAAAATATAAATATAAAAAATTCAAAAAACAACCCACCGCCCGAACCCCCATTGCCCTACCGCCCGAGTCCCATGCCACGTGGCTCCAGCCAGTGCCCAACCCCAACGTCGGCTATGGCGCGATCGACCCACCTCCCCTAAACCACTAACCCCTTCCCCTCCCTCCCCTGCAAAAACACAGGCATCCCCCTACCCTCGAAACCATTTTTCACCCCGATCCCAAGCCCCTTCCCCATCCCTATCCCTTTTCTGGCCGTGCCAACCTCTCCTGTCCCCAGCTCTTTCATTGAGTGCACGATCATGATAGGACTCAAGGAAGAAGCCCCGGCTAAATCCATGCTAGCATCCATGCCAAACTTCCATGTCCCCCATTCTGACCATGCCGTCCTCCTTTGACCTCGATTCAGGTCACGCTAACCTCCCTAATCTATTTCATGGTGTTTGGTTTGGTGGGTTTTTAATTTTTCAAAGGGGGGTTTAGGGTTGGGTTGGCTAGGGTGGGAACCCCATCGACACGGTGGCGATGGTTTTGGGTCTGGGTGAGGCCGTGGTTTTTTTTTATTTGATTTTACTTTTCTTCTTTTTTTTTTAATTAATTTTTTTATGTTGGACAAATCAAGTTGTGACATGTGTAAATTAAATTTAATAAAAACAAATTACCTACTCAATTGGTTACAGATTACTCAAGACTATTTTAAAATGGATTAGGTATATAGATCAGATTTTTTAAAAATAACTCAAATATAAGATTACTTTTAGCAAACGTCCTAAAAGTAAGATTATTCAGACAATTTTTCAAAATAATTACAGGACCTCACCCACATCCAACCCCTCCTCCGAGAAAATACAAGTTCATCTTGATGATAAACAAAATTTGTTTAACTAATAGCATTTTCGTAAATAAATCAACAAAAAATCTCAGTCAGCATGACATTTCCGTAAATAAGCCAACATTTGTGGGATGAATTGTTGATATATTAAAAATGCCATTAGATAAAGAAATTTTGTTTACGATGAAAATGAACTCCCCCACCTCCTCCGTCTTTACTAGGGTTTTATTTCACCTAAACACTTTCCTGTATTCATTGTTCTCCCATTTATTTTAGGGTTAGGGTTTAAGCTTTTTTTATTCTTTTTCATTTCATTCCACTTTCTCTTTCTATCTCATTTCTTGATTTCCATCAATGGCGACAACTCCTACAACTGCAACTCCAATTCCAAAGAGAAAGCCAGTGTTCATCAAAGTTGACCAGCTAAAGCCCGGTACTACTGGCCATACATTGACTGTCAAAGTTGTGAGCTCCAAAACTGTGTTAAACAAAGGAAGATCCGCTCCTTCTGCTTCTCTTAATCCTCGTCCAACTCGCATCGCTGAATGCGTTGTTGGTGATGAAACCGGCGTTATCATCTTCACCGCTCGTAACGAACAAAGTATACAAAACTTGCTCCCTTTAATTTCTAAATTTGCATTTAATTTGTTGATTTAATTTTGTTGTTTTGTTTATAAAATCTACAGTTATATGAAATAGAGAATTTTATTAGTTTTATTGGTTGATTTTTTGGTTTTGAATTGCTACTCTGTTCTTTTGATTAGCCATTTTGGACCTAAAAGATTCCTTTTGTTGTTTCAAACAAAATTAAGGGCTATTGTAATCCATCTCCTTCCTTTGGCGGCGGTATTTGATTCGATGATTAATAATAGGTCAATGTGTTGTGGTTTTTAGCTATATGTATTTCATGGGTATCATTTAGTTTTGTCATTGGTTGATTCATGTTAAAATTGTAACTTATTCATGGTAACTATCTGAAGCTGTCTACTTGTTGACATTTGGTTTTGTACCTTGTACCGCTCGGGTTATTATCAATTTTTACGACTGTTTTGGTTGAATGGATTTGGGGGGAATAAAAGAAAGGAAAAGGATTTAATCATATTCCTATATTTGGTTTAATAAATGACATGATAATTCAAAAGAAAGGAAGGGAAGTGGGAGGAATGCCCCTTCACAATTTTTTAGCTTTCCTTTACTCCTAAAATTGGTGGAATTTGAATGGAAAGAGATTAATAAAAGTTATAAATCAAATTCCCTTTCTTTCCCCTCATTTCCTTTCATTAACCAAACATTAAAAATATAAAATCTCCTTCCTTTCCTTCCTCCTCCTTCCATTTTCCTCTTTTTTTCCTTTCTGTTCTTTTTCTTTATTGATTTTGAACTATGAAACTTTAAGGGATGAAAGTGAAGGGGATGTTAAAGGGAAGTAATTAAATTCTAGAGGGGGGGTCAATAATTTGTTTTTGCTGGTGTTTCTAGCTTCTCGCTGCCATTTTTGTTTGTATCCAATGGTTTGTTATCTTTACCGGCTATGAAAGGTTTGGGAAATCGTTTATTAGTAACATATATTGGCAAAATGTCAATATTGACTAGCAATAGATGACTAATAAGTTGTTTGTTATGCTATAAGCCCTACCTTTTTTTTTCAATCTTTTGCTGGTCATTGGTTGATTTCTGCCCATGGGAGATATTAGCATATCATTTCTTATTTTGGATGGAGATATTGATCTGACAACATGAAGGCAAGATCTTACTAGATTAGTACTCCCAGTCTCCCCTGTGCACGGTTTTCACAAATTTAATGTAGATGAAGGTTTATGGAATTAAAATATACTGAATATATAAATGAAGTACTCCTATCAATCAAATAACCAAAATCAATTGAGAGTGTTTGGAAGTTAAAAGTATTGTAATGAATGTATGTGGAAAAGTGTAGAACCATAAGTATATATTGAATATTTAAATAGACTTAGAGTAAAAATCTAATTAAATGGAAAATGAAGAATTGATGAAAAAGCTGACATGTGAACAATGATAATGTTAATGGCTTTTGTTTTAGTACTAGTTATAGATTTTGCATCTATAGAAGTCATTCATATGTAGTTTATGGTTGCATCCTTTATTTATAATTCTTTTAGTACTACTCAGTAGGCTTTGCTGCGAGAGAGTGCAGATGCACTCATGCACCTAGGAGATAAGTAGGTCTAGCAAAGTTCAAATATTATCTGAATCAAATTATTCAAGTCAAACCCAATTCGTGCCATTTCCCATCTTGTGTTGTCAGTATTTGCTTCTTCAGATTGAAACCTGTAATTTTCTTGAAAGACGGTATTTATGAAGCTATGATCACCCTACAGGAACATGGTGATATAAGGAGATGTGTTGATATACTAGTTTTATAATAGATAAAACAATTTTTGAAATGATTGCTAGCTGCTGTAGTGAAGTGTTTAGGGTCATAATTGGTTATATTCTAGCTAATAAATAAAGTGATTTGATAGTATGTAGCAGCATTGACCCAAAAAGGTACGAGTGAAAGAATAAAAACACTTCTATGGTCATCTTAGTGATGCCCGTGAGATTCTAGTGGTTGATAATGGTCGTGACCTCATATCTTTGTATTTTGGTTCCATTTTCAACCACTAGATTTTCATGGTTATCTTTAATCTTACTATGAAGTGTTTAATACAGTTTTGGCTATATTTTGATCTTTATTATTTTATCATATTGGATGCTATGTAATGCATCTTCTCATTTCTCTGTTTAGAACAATGATAATTCTTTTTTGTTTTCTGCAATCGGATCCTGTTTCTTCTGTTGTATCTCCATCGGACTGGATCTGATCAATTTTTTGCTCTTGTAGTTGACCTCATGCAGCCTGATGCTACAGTAATCTTGCGTAATGCAAAAATTGATATGTTCAAGGGTTCTATGCGGCTTGCAGTTGACAAATGGGGACGTGTTGAGGTCACCGATCCTGCTAGCTTCCAGGTCAAGGAAGCTAACAATCTCTCCAACGTGGAATATGAGTTGGTGAATATTGCTGAAGAAAATTAGAAGTTGTTAGGTCAATAGCTTGAAGTGGATTTCTTAATATCTTTTTTGGTTTGTGAATTTTTATTGTTATTGCTTTGCAACTTTCATGAGTTTCACAAAATCATCATTGAAGAAGCATTGCCTCTGTATTCATATATAATGCCTTTTTTTTTGGCTGTGGTCTAAAATTTAACCCGTTTGATTTTCTCATGGCCAATGTGTGGTTAAGGCAGCTGTTAACCATATTGCCTTGTAAATATTTGATGTAACCAAATGTCCATTCTTAGAAGAGAAATGTGGGGGGTGGGATTTGTATCAGTGATTTCATTGTTTCCATCTGCTTCAATACTATCAAATGAACAAGTTTTTAGGACATGTTGGTGAGTGTCGTGTGGTTGCCTCACGTCCTGGTTACTGGACTGATGAGTGGTATCTTAACTTCAAATGAATTTTTTGTCTCACAAATAATACCCTTTTGTTACAATTAAAAAGATTTGAAGGTAGAAATTATTTACATTATACCTGAACAAATTCCCCCTTTATCAACCCCTAAAGGGTTTAAAAGCAAGTTTAGCCCTAAATCTTGGAGTGACATCATCATTTTGAGTCTTAAGATTTATATTTAAGACTTTTTCCATTTTTCTTCTAAAATCTCAAGGAAGTCTCAAGTTGAGTCTTGAAATTTCAAGACTCAACTTAAGACTTGGGCCTCAACTTAAGATTTGAGATTGGGACCCACTTCACTTTAATTTTTATTATCCTTTTTTTAAACACTTTTCTACATATAATATGTCAAATATTTAAGTCTTAGGGCTAAAGTGATAAATTTGTGTAATATTAATGAGTCTTAACAAGAATTTGATGACATCATTTTCAATGGGGACCACAAAAAATGATGTCACATCTAAGTAAGTCTTAAGACTTGGGGCTAAACTTGCTTAAACTTGCTCTAAGCAAGTTAAGTTGAACTTGTTTGACATGTAAGGTTTTCACCCGGTTGGGTGGCGTAGACACCCAAATAAAATGTGTAGGGAATATTTCAAGTCTTCCCACACTTGAGCCCTACTATGATCATACACTTAAGCATGGTGACGTCCATAGGGAAAGAAGCTAGAGTAAAAGAGTCGCCAATAAGTTTTAGAAACTTGTAAGCCGTTCACAGGGTGAAGGTTACACCCCTTAACAATCCAGGAGATCGTTAACTCCAATAGGTCTGGAACCAAAATTTGAAGTTCGGGGAAGAAGGTACAAATCCAACCTAAAAGAGATTGAACCTGCCCTAATAATATGCCTCTACTTTATTCTTCTCGTATTCATGTGCGCTTTCTGACTAACATACAATCAATAGGTTTACCCTAAACCTGTTTATTTATGTTGGTTGAATATTAATGCACAAATAAGATTATTAGTGGTGATCACTTGAATTATAATCAAATTAATCTAAACAAGATTATTAATTATCTTATTAAGCGTGATTACAAGTACAAATTCCCTTTAAACATGCATAAAAGACGTGATCAAGCAACATCATAATAAATCATAATCATTATAACCATAATTAATAATAGCAAGATCCTAGGCATGATGTTAACAAGATTAATAACAAACCCTAGCATGTCACTAAACATCAAAGATTAAAGCTTTTAGCGCTAACATGATACTAACATTGATATTAGAAAAAAAAAAAAGGAAGCATTCTTTTAATCATACTTGATATTAGGAATATTAATTAACCCTAACCATGATACTAGGAAGCAATAAAACATCCTAACATGATACTAGGAATCAATAAAATAATCTAAACATGATTTCTATATAAAAAGATCAATAAAACAATTAAAGTACTTATTTCAGAGCTTTTTTGGTGCAGCAGACCACACCGTGTGGCCTGCGGTCTGCTGCCAAGTCAGTAAAAATAACGGATTCTGACGCGCGCATAACGGGGTTACTGTTCACTCGCATAACGGGGTTACTAGTTTTGTCAGGGTTACTTGTATTTTTTTTTCAAGAGTTACTTGTAATTTTTTTTTCAGGGGTTACTTGTATTTTTTTTTTCAGGAGTTACTTGTATTTTTATTTTCAGGAGTTACTTGTATTTTTTTTCAGGGGTTACTTGTATTTTTTTTCAGGAGTTACTTGTATTTTTTTTTTCAGGAGTTACTTATATATTTTTTTCAAGGGTACCTTTTTTTTAGGGGTTACTTGTATGGGTTAATTTCAAGGGTTACTTGTATGAGTTACTTATTCAAGGGTTACTTATATGAGTTACTTCAAAGGTTACTTGTATGAATTACTTATTCAATGGTTACTTGTTACTTATTCAAGGGTTGCTTATAAGTTGGTTTAAAAAAAAAGGTTTGCTTGTAGGCCCCATACCAAACCAGTAACACCCTACAAGTAACCCCCGACCAAAACCAGTAACACCCTACAAGTAACCCCCGACCAAAACCAGTAACACCCTACAAGTAACCCTTGACCAAACCAGTAACACCCTACAAGTAACCCTTGACCAAAACCAGTAACACCCTACAAGTAACCCCTGACCAAACCAGTAACACCCTACAAGTAACCTAACCCCTGACCAAACCAGTAACACCTGACCAAACCAGTAACACCCTACAAGTAACCCCTGACCAAACTAGTAACTCCCTACAAGTAACCCCTGACCAAACTAGTAACACCCTACAATTTTTGACGTAGAATGTTCGATTTGAGATTCCACGAAGAAAAGGAGCTCAAATTTCTTTGGTTCTCATCAATTTCACTACTTCAAATGTTGTTCACGATCTTAAGGATAATTAATCACAATTTTTCACAACAATTTGACACCCAATTTCTACAATTTTGGGCTTTAATTGTAGCAATTTAGCAAAGAGGAGAGAGAAAATGGGTAGAGTAGGGATATGGTTGTTGGTGATGTATGGTCTGGCTTGAAGAAGAAGCTAAGAAAAGAGGAGAGAGAAAATGGGTGGAGTAGAGATATGGTTGTTGATGATGTGTGATTCTGCTTGGAGAAGAAGCTAAGAAAAAAGAAGAGAGAAGAGTTGTGGTATTAAAAAAAATTAAAAAAAAAAAATTGTGGCTGGCCACACCTTCTTCTTTGCATTCTTACCCAGCGACCCCAGAATTTGCCTATGATTTTTTCAACTGATATTTTGATATAGAAGAATCTCCTTATTTCTTCACCGCGGGTTCTCGCGTAATTTTGTTGAAAAGATATTATATCACCGTGGGAAACTTGAAAATGACTAATGTTGACTATTCCATTATTCACACACACTTTTCGATGACTTATCGGCTGCCTTGCTTGAGGAATAGTTTCACAAAAATGGAGACGAACCAGAATAACGTCCAATCTTGTTCTGGGTTGAGTAGAAAAGAAATATATGAAGTGAGTTTTGTTCTTCTATGCATCTTTGTGATGGGTAAATTACCATGAAAAAGGGACAACTTTCGTGTAGTTTGTAATTGTATGTAACTGTTACGTGTGGCCAGCCACATACAAAAATTTGTGTACTTATTTCGATGCCTCGTACCTCTTTCTAATAACAAAATACACACGTTAGTAAATTCAAGGAAAATAATAAATCAAACAATTAAATTAATAATTAAAATAGGGATTTGGGACCAAACCCTCAGAAATATCAAACCTTTCACGTCTAGGGCGAAGGCAACTTCGAACTTGGTTAGGTGTTTCTAGAACTAATGTATAAGTATTTTGAGAGAGGGAAGGTTTATAAAAAGAAAAGAGAGAAAAGGCTTCTAGCTTTTAGAGAGAGAAAGTGAGAGATGATTGTAGATGTTGATGTAGATGCTGATGATTTGAAAACAGGGAGATACGAGCCCTATTTATAATAAAAATAGCACGGGATCAAAGAAAATCATATTCGGAATAAAACTCCTCCCGTCGCAAACCGATAGGAGCCAGTGCCAGAGCCAGACGACGAACCTCGTCGCCAGGCGACGAGTCCAACGCCAGGCAACGAAGGTCAGCGCCTAGTGACGACTTCGTCATCTCGTGCTCGTCCAAAAATCAATGCGCTTTTCCACGCGTAATTACCTTTAACACCGGTTGCAGGTAATTACGTGTCCAAGCAGTTTTCGAAATCAGATTTAATATTTTTTATTCTAAATAAAACATTCTTTTTTAAAATAATAATTAATAGGCCCTCCTCTAGATCATCGGGCCACCTTTAAAATCATTAGGCCTAATCTAATTTAATCCATAACTTCCTCATAAGTCATCACAATTGGGCTTATAATATATCATTAGAAAGCTTTGTTCGAGCCCAATCCAACGACACTATTATTGGACCTTTATTATGGACCAAACCAAATTGGACTGACTATTTTTCATAAATAAGAGTAAGCAAAAAAATATTTTTAGAAAACAGAAAGAGAAATATTTTAATAAAAACATCCTCATCATTAGACTTTCCACACTTTCTCCTCGTTCGATAATCAAATGACGCGAAAGGTATTCATAACCGAGTTTTGTTTTGGGGAGACACATTTGGGTGTCTACAGAAGCCCCCACTTTGACTAAGTTTGGAGAAACTTATGTTTCGAAAACAAAAGTCAAAGTAGCGATAGGGACAGAGAATGATTCAGAACGTTCTGCAATCCCAAATCATTCTTATAACGCCGATACCTGCAAACTAGCGTTAGTTAAAACAGATAAGAGAGTTAAGAAACGCGTATCTTGCACCGTCGAGCACACGTCCTGTGGGTAACCGATTTGTTGCAGTTCTTGTTGTTGCGACAACCTTCCACAAGCTAGGGAACGCCATCTTGCTGCTTTGTTAGTGATATGCTCACGCGTCTCTGAGAAAAAGAGCTTATTTTGTTTGACAATCTCCCTCAAGCTAGGGGATACTGTGTGAAGACTGCTACGCCCGTAACTGCCTCCAATTTCCGTTGTGATAATCTTCTGCAAGCCAGAGAACACTATCAAAGATTGTTTCTCCTGAAATGATCTTCTACCGCCTTGTGACCATCTTTTGCAAGCTAGGGAACATGATCGAAGATTGCTTCGCCCAACACGACCCTTTACCGCTTTGTGACCATTTTCCTCAAGCTAGGGAACATGATCGAAGATTGCTTTGCCCGAAGTCATACTCAGTTGTTACGATAATCTTCCAAAGAAAATTACTAAAGATCAACGCCCGTCGATCCTTAAAGCTCGCTTGAACTTTGCTGTCGTGATATTTGCTGAATTTTCCGCAGTGTCAGTTGGTCGGCGCTTTTTGCTACTTGTGAACCATTATGTCGGTGCTTTTGCGATGAGCCAATGTTTAGGTGCTTTAAGCTAAGTGAAACGATCTTTCATCAGGT